GAGAGCTCTAGAAGCTGTAGGTCTCTTGTATTATGAAGAATGGAGTTCTCTCCAGAGTCCCACAGAAAATGAACTCAAAGTGCTTTGTTGAGCCCTGGCTGGGTAGCTCCAATGGTTAGAGCATCGTCCTGATGCACCAAGATTGCAGGTTCGATTGCAGGTCATGGCATAAAAAAGAAGCAACCAATGAATGAATAAGTAAGAGGAACATCAAATTGATGTTTCTCTCTTTCTCTCTCTTAAATCAATCAATAAATAAGATTTTTAAAAAATTGCTTTGTTGAATGTTAGACAACCACATAAACCAAGTTGTTAACTTTTTTTTTTTAATCATCTGCACAATCTTGCCCATTTTTATCCCTAAAATCCAGGATGGGGAGGACAGAGAAGGTGGCCGAAGACCCAGAGTCAGGCCTCAGCTTGGCCAGTTAATAGCCTTACGAGTCTTTCTCCTCATCTGTAAAAAGGGGGCTTAAGTGAGTTAAAGGTGTGTGTAAGTTTTTTAAACTTACAGTCCTATGTTCAACAAGTATCTGGGATCTAAGGATAGAGGGTGAAGAAGTAGACGAATTCCTTGCCCTGGAGGGGCTTAAATTCCAATAGGTGGGAGTGGGGGAGACAATAACCATGGGCTGAGTGTCAGAGTGGGGAACAGGGCGCTGCTGTGTATATGGAGGTGTGGCAAAAGCTTCCCTGATGAGTGACATTAAACAGGTAGTGAGCAAAGGGAAGTAGTTTTCACTTAGAAACGGATCACAGAAACCTCTTCTTCCAAGTACAACTTTACCCACATCTGCAAGCTACTGAGATTCTCTGATCTGAAAATCAAATGTCATTTACATCAGATCCACCTCTTATGTTTTTCGTTCTTATGAGACTCGTTCATTCCTCCAGTCACTAATTTAAAAAAATATTTTTTTATTGATTTCTGAGAGGAAAGGAGGAGAGAGAGAGACATAGAAACATCAATGATGAGAGAGAACCATTGATTGGCTGCCTCCTACACACCTCCCACTGGGGATCGAGCCCGCAACTTAGGCATGTACCCTGACCAGGAATCGAACTGTGACCTCCTGGTTCATAGGTCAATACTCAATCACTGAGCCACGCTGGCCTGGCAGTGATTAATTTAAAAAAAAAAAAGCATTTTTTTTTATGCTCCATTGTCTGAAATTCCGGAGATAGAAACATGAACAGGGCATGGTGTCTATTTTCAAATAGCTCGGAGTTTAGTGGGAGACGCCAATAGAAGCAGAGGTTTAAAAACAGTATGCTAGGCACAATGACTGAAGCACACGCAGGGAACACGGAAGAGGGGCAGCCAGCCTGGCAGGGTGAGGGATGCTTCAGGAAGAATTCCTGGCTGAGAAAACTCTGAGATCAGCTTAAAAACTTGAAGAGAAGGGGCTAGTGAGCCCCGAGGAGCAGCAGGGACCCACGAGAAGGGCAGGCACATGACAAATAGCATGGGATGCTTAAAGGAGCCACTGAGAGTTCCCACTGGGGGCTGCAGGCATGGGGTGTGCACTAGTGCAGTGAGGGATGGGCCAAGGTGGTGAGGAGCGGGCCAAGGCAGGAGACAGGCCCCGGAGGCCACAGCAGGCCAGTCCAGAGCTTTCTGGAGACAAAGCCACTTCAGATACATCTGTTCCACTGCTCCCGCCTTGCTGGTCCCAGGCAAGAAAACTCAACTCAGCTCTTCACGCCTGTTCCCCAGTGTTCCAGTCATTTCTACTCTGAGACAGGCCCGGGGACGCTCCTGGGCCGGGGGGAGTCCGTCTGAAATCGCGCAGTTGTTTTGTGTTTAGGTAATGGACGTTTCTAATGCCAAGACGAAAATGTTGGTCCAGCTCATGTTCAAATAGCTGTCAGGTGGGAGGGAATTCTCTTTGGCTAACGAGTCCAAAAAAAAAAAAAAAAAAAAAAAATCGCCCCAAACACTCCTTTTGCTTTTTGGAGAAAGAAAAGGGTTGACGTCTCCGGCAGCTGTTCTGTGTCACAATCTACAAGTGGGAAGAGGGCGGGTTCTTCTCTTCTCCCTCCAAAGAAATAATGAAGCCGTAATCCATTTCTGTCCCAGAGTTATTTCCTGACATGAGAGCCCTGGCAACTCCCACTTTTCAGCTTCCTCCCTGGGCACAGGGCTTTTCCCCCCCAGGGAAGTGTCCTTCACAGAGCAGGGCCTGAAGAATACAGCCAGCCCCGAGTGCACCAGATGTGGGCTGCAGCCTTCCTGCCTCTCTGTCAGCTGGAAAGAGAAAACAGATAGCCAGGGAGCCTTTGTCCAGGCTGCACGGAGTGCGGCTGTGAGGAGGAGGGAGGCTGCTGGCTGGCAGGCTGAGGAGCTGGGTGCCTTGGAGCTGGGCTTCAGGACCAGGCTGCCACTTCCCAAAGTCCTTCCTCTTCCCGCTCCGTAAGTAAAGCAGGAATTCAGCAGGGCGAAGGGCCTTTACTGCTTGTGGAAGTCCAGGGGGTGATTCATAGGGCGGTCTGCTCACACCTCGCCCTGTGCCATGCTCCACGGTTGATTTCCTCTTCCCCACACCAGCGGAAGGAACCGGCCGCTCTTTCTCCCCGTATTGTTAGTAAACCACGCATCACATTATATTGTAGTGATATGCAGGTCTGTCTGCTCTAGTGCCTGAGGATGGAGACTGCCCTTCTCGCTTTTATCCTGAGACTGATGGAATGTAGGCTCTGTGAGGCAGGGATCTTTGTCTACCTGTGTCTCCAGGGCCCAGAACAGTGCCTGGCACATTGCAGGCACATAGTAGGTATTTACTGAACGAATTCACAAGCTCCGCACCAGGGGAACCAGCAGCATGCTTGCTGAATGTATGATGGACACCTGTGATGACTAGGGGGATCTGTGGGTTCTGGGGGTGGAAATCGGTAGGGAGGGAGGGGCCGGAATGGCTTTCAGGAATCAGAATGCCTTGATCCTTGCACGTTTCCCAAAGGTATAGGTTGCCCTGCAGAGCCCTGGAGGGGTGATCAACTTGCCCCTAGGGAATCTGGTCTTGGATAAGTCATTTCATTATGACACGATCCATGTTAACTTTTAAGTCTCATCCATGAGCAGATCAAAAACATTAAGGTGGGGGTGTATGAGTCATTAGGACTTTATAACCTGATTTTAAGATTAGAAATAAGGAATGCTTTGGTAGAAGGAAGCATGGAGCTCACTGAAACTAGCCTTCGAAGGCACGGTGGGGACGCGGCCATGATGACCTATGTCATACAGCCCTCATTCCCACTTCACGCTCAGTGCCCAGCACAGAGCCTGATACATGGTGGCTGCTCACTAGTTTCGGAAGCAAACTGTGAATAGGTGACCACAGATACAGATGTTAACAATGCCCTTGGACTAAAGGACTTCCATTTTTTTCTTCTCCTCAGTGTTACTGGGGAGTTCTCCCGGGATGAGGTGGGCACTGTGCTGCAGTGGTGATCAACTCCCTGAAAAACTAGACACAAAGTCTTTTTTTAAAAAAAATAGGTTTTTAGAGAGAGAGGAAGAAAGAGGGGGAGAGAGAGAGAAACATCAATGTGAGAGAGAAATACTGATTGGCTGCCTCCTGCCTTTCCCCCACTGGGATTGAGCCCCCAACCCAGACATGTGCCCTGACCTGGAATCAAACCAGCAACCTTTTGGTGCACAGGATGATGCTCAACAAACTGAGCCACACTGGCCAGGTGGAGACACGAAATCTTGATTAACACGGACTAGTTACCCTTAATATCCTCTTCCTCCTCCTCCTCCTCTTCCTTCTTCTTTTTAGTTTGTGTTACTTTGACTTCTTTGGGGAGAAAACTCTACTTCTGAGCTAAGTTATATCTCCAGAGGTTGTTAGCTTACTTCTCTCAACCATATGACATTAGCATCTCTGTGGTAGCCCTTCGGATCATTTCCTGTTCTTCAGACTGTTTAACTTTATCACTTGAATACATTTTGTAGGAAAGAAGGTATGTTCATGGGCTGTCATGCTCTTCTGAGATGGTGAGCCAAAACTGCAACTTGAGTATGACACATAGCACTCTTTATTTTTCTTGGAAGTTGTGAGGGCTTTACATGTTAGCAAGGATACAGGATAAGAACAGACAAATCCAAACTGGGAAGCAGTTAAGTTGAAACTAAAATGTCACTTCCTAACAATAGGAATTTGGCCTCAGAATGGTATGCCTAGGAATTTAATCTCCTAAACGATTCAAGAAGGACATTTCAAAAGTACATGACATTGAGTTTATGAAAGTGTGTGAACCAATGCATTTTAGATAGCATTTGGGTCAACAGAAGCTGTTTGATACAGAAATGGTTTTCCTGATAACCCCCAGCTAGCTGGAAAGTCCCTCCATCCAGGACATTCCTCAGGCTTTCTTGCCATCTAGACTCTCAGTGTAGATAAGAGCTCTCAAGAGTTCTTTAATAAGCCTTCTCCTTTCTTCAAAATGAATACTGTTTAACCCCCTTCCCAGAGCTTCCTTCTGTTTCTGTGTCTTGGGTGCTGGCTCACATGTCTGTCTGGGAGAGCTTTTCCATTCTTCTTCTCTCCCATCTTTTCTCTATTCCTTTATCAACTTAGTTTATGCCACCACTGAGCACCGAGTGCCCACTGTGTGCCAGGCCTGGTCGGGTGGAGGAAGGGTGAAGTATGGATGGGGATGTTCCTAAGAAAGACACACAAGACCGATTTCTTGCCAAGAAACCCTACAAAGGGTCTGATTTCCACTCTTTCACTGCTTGCTTTCTGCATCACTCAGAGGCTATCCATTCTCTGTGCTATTTTGCCATCAGGGGAGTGGTTCTCTTGGGATCGGTCCTGCTCTCTGGTTGCCGGGGTCGGTCACTTCATCTTCCTGAGTTTTTCTTCCTCTCACACAAAGAGGTGAACTTGACGGTCCTTAAGGAGACTCCAGCTCTAAGATGGGAATCGTTCTGGTGGTTTCCAGCGCCCACATGGGTGCGTCCAGCGGCTCAGTGAACCCTTTCTCCCATGCAGGTGCTGAAAGCAAGATGAGCTACTTTATGGATTCTGCAGTGAGTGGCCCTGCCCCTTACCCAACAGTGCGTCCTGTGGTGGCGGTAAGTGGGGTCTCTTCCAGGCCCTCCCCTGCCCCCCCCCCCAGCCTCTCTCCCTCCTCCCCTTGCCTTCTGCATCCTGACCTCTCTGAGACCCAGGAGCCAGGGCCCCAACTCCAAAGGTAGATTCAGCTTGGAATGTTTTGGGAAGAGCTGGATTGGGAAATGATGTCTTTTGATCAGCATATAAAGTAAAAACCCAAGACTGACAGATTGGCTGAGAAAGATGTTTTAGTGTTTCTGTGTCAGAGAATATGATTCAAACATGATGAAGGGATAAAGCCAGGTGATGTTTTACTGCTCAGTTCACCTGGTGAAGATTTTTCATGTACTGATTGATGGACATTTGACCTATTGTTGGCATAATGAAAGTTACATTTGACCTCATACAGAAAGGCTAAATAACAACACAAGCTTTCTAGTTATGGAGATTGAAACTAGAAATGAAATGTGATAATAAATTTATAGGGAAATTTCAAAAATTGTAGACTAAGAGGGGTCAAGAAGCTTTAATCCAGGACACGGTGGCATTTCTTGCCCTCAGGGGAGGCGCCTCACTGGAACTGTGTGCAGATCCGCAGATATGTTTAGAAACATTTCTTATAAATTTAGAGAGATCCCCGAATTTTCATTCATCGATTCTAATGTTAAATGAAACTTTAATATTAGCAGATGTACCATTCACTAGTCATTCTAAATTCTGTATGTTTGGTGCAAAGACAGCCATCATAAATGTTGAATGGTTTGTACCTGCTATGGCAATGGACGGACAGGTTTGTTGTTTACCCTTCCCAGGACGTTTCTGGGTCTGAATAGACACCAGTCCACCAGCGCTTTTTCCTGACCCCAGTCTGACTGTCTTGCCTGAGATCCTGTGCAGTGTTTAGCACTGGTATCCTTAAGTTAACCGTGAGCTCCCACTGGAATCGTATAATGCAAGATTGGCTATGTTTGAAGACTGTTTTCTGTAGAAATGAAACATTAATTACTCAAAAGCTACCCTATGTTTAAGGGAAGAGCACATCTCTTCTGGCTGTTCTGTTACACGTTTGTTCTTATAAAAAGGCTTCTGTGTTCATATAAATATTCACTGTTCTAAAAACATTAGAAGAAGGAAAAGGTTTTGACTACAGTTTACATCAGAAATATGTTTTAAAGCGCGCGCGCACGCACACGCGCGCGCGCACACACACACGTCAGTCGGTTTTGCTTAGTAGAAGTTGCCAAAGGCCTTGTACATTCAGGTCACACAAGTGGCTGCAGAAGTTGGCAGGGAACAACTCCTCCCATTTCCCCCACAGACGCTATTGTCTAAGGTCAACACAAAGTACACTACATTCTTCTTAAAGACGATATTGTAGAGATGTGTTAAAATAAACAGGAATCTTGTGATGTTGGGGCGAAATGTGTCGTTGACTTGGAAAAGTACGTTAAAAAGCCAGCTTATGTGAATTCTCTTTACCAGTATTGTAATCAAATGAAACAAGATTAATGACTTGTCGAAAAAAAATCTATGCCACAAGAATTTCTATTTATTTTATTTTAGCTACTTAAATAGAAACCGTATTGTAAGTATACAAATTGCAGATATAATATTAAATGATCCTAGACAAGGTATCTGAAAATTACAGAAGATTAAAACAAAACAGTCTACTCAAAGTGCATATTTTGAACTAAAGATTGCTCCCTGCCAACTGGATACATTGGATGTTTTTAATGTATTTGGAATGATTTCTACTCATTTCAAAACAAAGAACCCATTTACCTCCATCCTCGATTCCCATGTATGAAAGGCGTTACCAACATGCAGGATACTTTTTCACTGCAAATTTCAATGCTGTTGGGCAAACGCCGAGGGTTGGGTAAGAGAACCGCCCAGTGACTGGCCCAGCGCTTTCCCGCGGGCGGAACTTCTCTCTGGGCCTCAGTTTCTCCATCACTGGCACTGGTGAGGCAACATTTTAGAACATAGAGGAAGCAGCAGAGTCCTTTCACTTCCTTAGATACCTTCTCTCTAATGAAAAGAAATCAGTAAATGACATTTATGAGTACAAATTCAAGTTCAAGAAACCAGCTCCCATGGATTACCTTCCATGTTAGGCTGGACTATAATACACAGCCAGGGAAATCTGTAAATTATCTACAGGATGTAAACTTGTAACATTGGCGCTAGAGAAACTAGCAAGTTTCACACTTTCAATCCCAACCTAAGATTTCGTGGACGAGCAGAGCTTCACTCACTTCCCCAGGCAAGGAAGTCGGAGCCCGAGGCACCCTCTTCTTAGTTCTGGAGGAGGCAACCCCTGATGCTTAGTCCAAAAAATCAAGTCCTTCTGCCCAGTGCCCTGGCCTCTGATTTAGTTAGATTGGGCCACCAAGGAAAGAAACTGTGTGCCAGATCTAGGAAGTTTGAGGGTGAAAGGAAAACCATGAGGGCAGTGGATTTTCAGATGTGTCATTCCCCACCAGCCAGTATTTGGTGATACTTTTGGTTGTCAAATTTGGGGAATGGAGCTACTACTGGCGTCTAGAAGGTAGAGGCCAGGGAAGTAGCTAGATGTCCCACAATACACAGTACAGTCCCCACAACAAAGACTTATTCATCCCCAAACATCAGTAGTGGGCAGGTTGAGAAGACCTGGCCTGGAGCAGCCACAGACCAACTCCGAAGGCAGGATGATGCCGTGTGTACAGATTGGTCAAAGCAGGTCTTTGTTAACTTGTAAATTCTTTTCTTTCTTTCTTTCTTTCTTTCTTTCTTTCTTTCTTTCTTTCTTTCTTTCTTTCTTTCTTTCTTTCTTTCTTTCTTTCTCTTTTCTTATCCTCACTTGAGTATATTTTTCCACTGAGTTTTAGAGAGAGTGGAAGAGAGAGAAAGACAGAGAGAAACATTGATGTGGGAGAAACACATCGATTGGTTGCCTCTTGCACGAGCCTCGACCAGGGCTCAGGCCAGGGAGGAGCCTGCAACTGAGGTAGGTGCCCTTGACCTTCGGAATTAAACCCAGGACCCTTTGGTCCACAGGCTGACTCTCTGTCCACTGAGCCAAACTGGCTAGGGCTAAATTATTGCTTTAGAAAGAGAAATCTTAAAAACAAACAAACAAAATCTTGAGAATATATTCATGTCATGAGGGGTTTTGCTTAGCACACTACATTAGTTGTTCAAGAAACAATCTTCTAAATCAGGATAAGAATATTTTCTGGTCCTTGAGGTAGCATTAGCATGGATTGTTCACATCGGCAGCAGATGTGAAACTAATGTCGCCGTTTCGCACAGAATTCACATCATCCACCGCAGGGTCAGCTTGTCAAAACCAGGACACGTTTTCCCCCTTGTAAGGTCAGCCCTTTAAGAGACTACAATGAATGACGTGATGTCACAGCTGGGGAGGCAGGGAAACAATACTTTTGGAAGTGGTCTGGCCAGTGTGTGGGAGGGGGTGACATGGCCAGGGACATATATGGGTTGTGTGCCAGGGACCCTTTCATCCAGGGGAGGAAGCACTCCTTCCTGTTATGCTACCCCAGCAAGCCTGCGGGGAGCCCTGGAAGTCCCTTGCAGCGCTGGTCCCTGGTCCTCTCATGCGTCATCCTCCCCTCCACGCCACTGAGCCAGCAGAACTGGGGGAGGACAGGAACGGGAGGGATGGGCCACTCCTGGTTTTGAGCAAACATGTTGCAGTCCTTGGCTACTTCACAAGCAAAGAGGACATGTGGGGGAGGTCCTTGGGGATCAATGACCCCGGGGGCCAAGGGGACTTTAGGAAGCACCTTGAATGTTCAGAGGGAAGGAACGACACTGCCCACTCACCTTCCCAGAGCGTGGTCCCTCAGGGATGCAGCAATATGTTGGGGCAGGAATGGCTGCCTAAGGGGTAAAATGGATTTTCCAAAATGCTACAATTTCCTAGGATGAGACGCGGGGTCAAGCCTGTCAAACTCAAAGGCTCACATGGGCCAAATAAACAAGGTTTAAGTGTATGTGGGCCGCAAAAACACAAAAGCTTCAATTTTCATAGAAATGTAGGTTTATTTCGATAGAGACAAGCTGAATACAAAGGGCTGAAATAAATGAGTCATCATTAACATAAAATAATAGGACATTTTAATAAAAATTAATATTTTTTTCTTGAACATTAACTTACCAGACACCGAATAACTGCACAAATTAAAAAGCGTAACACAAATACACCTATTTTTCTTGTTCTCCGAAAGCGAAGTATTTCCTGTTGCTCACACCAAACAAGTCAGTCCAATACTAATGATGTGGCTGTCGGCTGCTAAAATATTTGCTGCTGGTACTAGTGGAGAGAAATGGTGCACCTGCACGTAAGCCGCGTAATGGAAATGAATGCAACACGATTATAGTCATCACTCATTAGTGAACGTTGTAGTTTGTTATGAATAATTATGTATAACAGGATATTGTAAAAATTAAGTTACAAAATTTTTATTAAAATGTTTCTTACATACTGTTATGTTGGCTGGGCTTCAAAAATATTTTCTGCGGCCCACGGGCAGTGAGTTTGACATGCTTGCCCTGGGTGGAGGGAGCGTCCCTGTACTTTGAGGTGGGGTAATTGCATTGAACACTAGCCATTCTTTCTGGATCAAATGCTCTTCATATGGTGACTATGTTTTTTCTTTCTTTCCTTCTTTCTTTCTTTGTTTTAATGAAAGCAAGGGTTTCAGAAACTGTCCAACAAAGAACTTTTTTGACGTGTGAATTTATTATATGAAAGATTTCCATGTTGTATAAATGGGATCACACATATCAGAAGCTTAATTGATAGTTTGGAGTAACATGACGTGAAATCAGGGCTATTTCAGACATGTGATCACAGGATAAATAGGGGATGGAAATATGCCCAAGTCCATGCTCGATGCCAGCTTGGAGGGGGCAAAAGGGAGACTGACAGCCATTGGTAGGTTTTAGGCATTGGCTTTCGTCCTCCCTGTGCTGCTCCACTGGGACTTGAAGTACTGACGGGCCATCTGAA